TGGCTTCTAGGCAGTTGTGGCCAGTTGAGGGATGGAGGGTTATGTTTCCTCCTGCTCGGTGTGCGCCCAGTGTAAGGCGCCTAGACATCTACCTAGGGGTAAGTTGCTACCCCTGCCCGTTCCACAACGGCCATGGTCCCACCTCTCAGTGGATTTTATAACAGACCTTCCCCTCTCCCAAGGGAATACTACCATCCTGGTCGTTGTGGACCGGTTCTCTAAGGCCTGTCGTTTGCTCCCCATGCCGGGTCTTCCTACGGCCCTGCAAACTGCCGAGGCACTGTTTACCCATGTGTTCCGGCACTACGGGGTACCCGAGGACATTGTGGCTGATCGGGGTCCCCAATTCACCTCCAGAGTCTGGAGAGCGTTTATGGAGCGGTTGGGGGTCTCGGTGAGCCTCACCTCGGGTTACCACCCGGAGAGCAATGGGCAGGTGGAACGCGTAAACCAGGATGTGGGTAGGTTTCTCAGAACATACTGCCAGGACCGGCCGGAGGAGTGGTCAAGGTACGTTCCCTGGGCCGAGATGGCCCAGAATTCCCTACGCCATTCCTCCACTAACCTAACTCCATTTCAATGTGTGTTAGGTTACCAGCCGGTTCTGGCACCCTGGCAGCAGAGCCAGATCGAGGCTCCTGCGGTGGATGAGTGGGCGCGGCGCTCGGAGGAGACTTGGAACGCTGCACACGTCCACCTGCAGCGGGCCCTCCGACGTCAGAAGGCGAGCGCTGATCTCCACCGCAGTGAGGCACCGGTGTACGCACCTGGTGATCGAGTCTGGCTCTCTACCAGAAACCTGCCCCTCCGCCTGCCCTGTCGGAAACTGGGTCGGCGGTTTGTAGGGCCATTTAAAGTCCTGAGAAGGTTGAACGAGGTATGTTATAGATTACAGCTACCTGTGGAGTATAAGTGTATTAACCCCTCGTTCCATGTGTCCCTTCTCAGGCCGGTGGTAGCGGGCCCACTCCAAGAAGATGAGATCTTGGAGACTCCTCCGCCCCCGTTGGACATCGAGGGGGCACCGGCGTACTCCGTGAGATCCATCTTGGATTCGAGACGTCGGATGGGGGGTCTCCAGTATCTGGTGGAGTGGGAGGGGTACGGTCCGGAGGAGCGGTGCTGGGTGCCGAGGAGAGACGTGTTGGACCCGTCGCTCCTGACGGAGTTCCATCGGAGGCATCCGACGCGCCCTGCGCCGCGTCCCCCTGGTCGTCCCCGAGGCCGGAGTCGGCGCACGTCTGGAGCCGCGCGTCAAGGGGGGGGTACTGTCACGGTTTCGGCCGAGGCTGCCTCTCTCCCTTGTTCGGGCAGGCTTCGGCGTTCGTCGTCTCCGGAATTCTAGCTGCCACCGATAGATGTTTCATGTTCGTTTGCTTTTGTCTGTTTGTTTCCACACCTGTTTCTGTTTTACGTAATTAGTGTCCTATAAGTTTCTCGTTGTGTTTGTCTAGTGTTGTGTATGATTGTTTCCGTCAGTGTTGTGTTTTGCTCGGTTGAGCGTATTTTCTCCACTGTGCTGGAGCTCAGTTGCACTTGTGTGTGCACCATTTCATTTTGTCGCACCTGTTAGTGCGCATTTGCCTTTTCGCCTTCGTGCGTGGTTTTGCTGTCGGGCTTAGTTGTCCTGTTGCCTGTGTTGGGCCAGAAATACAGCTTTTTGGAACATTCAGTCTGCGTCCTGCATTTGATTCCTACACTACACCTACAACACGCCCTGACAAGCTAGCAAAAACATGAGGGCAAATACATCCGATTTGACCGTTCAGACACAAATTGCATGGCCAGAAATCTGATTTGTATCTGATTTCAAACCACCTATGAATTTATACAACTAGTTGCAAACAACAGCCAATCAAAACAATGCTTTTGTCACATGATCCAGTTGTCACAGACCCATATGTCATGTCAACACAGCTGTCAGTGCTGCTGGAACCGCGATCAAGGTTGATAGAAGAGACATTAGCTAAATGGGACCTGTAAATAAATATTGGCATCATGGCAAATCATGGTTTAGGTACTGTACATGGTTGGGTAGTCAATAAATGTAATTTTTGAAGTGGCTACTGTTGCACAAAGGTTGTTACAGTTATGGGTCAATGTTTTTACAAGTGGTTCGCTTCCGAAAGGTGTAAAGCAACAGTCACATGGGAAAATTTGAAATTAGGATTCTTCATCTGGTGTGCCTCGGCCAGGTCAACAGGAATTTGTATGTGGTCTAGTCTAGGTCTGATAAACGCACACCCCGTTTTAGGAAATCAAATACAGCGAAGGTAAGTGGAGAAATCATGTTGTTGTATTTTGAGTGGAACAGCCACATGCTATGCAATCACAAACAGCTCTTTGTGTCAATATCAGGGGGACTGGAGACTGGGGCCATGTGGATGCACCTGTCCAAATATATCAGCATCTTCCTCCTGCTGACCCTTTCAGGCCTGTTCATCATCAACATTCTAGAGGTAAGGAGAGAAAGTGATCTTTCCCCATCACCATCTACCTACATTAGCCTACCACCAGTGGAGGCTGCTGAGGGGAGGACAGCTCATAATAATGGCTGGAATGGAATCAATGGAGTGGAATCAACCTGTCACGAATTCAGCCGAGGCTGCCCCTCCTCCTTGCTCGGGCAGGCTTTCGGCGTTCGTCCTCACCGGAGTACTAGCTGCCACCGATCTATGTTTCTGTGTTCTACTTGTTTTGTCTTTATTGTAAACACCTGGTTCCCATTGTGTTCATGATTTGTTCCCTATTTAACCCTCTGGCTCCCACTGTGTTGTGTGCGTGTTTGTTCTATGTTTGGTGTCATAGACTGGTGAGCGGGATTTGTCCTCCCTGCGTGGAGATTATGTTAATTTATTTTCACGAGTAAAGTACGTTGTCTGCTAGCTTTGTGTCCTGCGCCTGACTCCGTCCTACCGCTACACACTGACGCCTGACAGAAACACGCACCTCAAATGGAGTCAGCAGGTACATTCATTCCTTCAGGATCAGTGGAGGAACACATCCAGCAGCAAGCGACCATGATACAGACTCTCGGCACAGCCATGGATCGCGTGTTGAACACTATGGAGCGATGGGAGAGAGGGGGTTTTCCTACACCTCCTTCAACTACACTGCAACCCATACCGCTGTCCACCCCTTCACCACCTGGACCCAGTGGGATTCGGCTCTCGCTCCCGAGGGCATATGATGGTACAGCTGCCGGGTGCCAGGGGTTCCTGCTCCAGGTGGAGCTCTACCTGGCGACCATCCACCCGGCTCCCTCGGGATACGAGAGCGTGTCCGCCCTCATCTCCTGTCTGTCGGGGAGAGCGCTCGCGTGGGCCAACACCGAGTGGGGAGGAATAGACGCGGCGTCGGTGCGCTATGAAGATTTCAGCCGCCGCTTCCGGGCGGTATTTGATCATCCACCAGAGGGGAGAGCGGTGGGGGAACGTCTGTTCTACCTCAGACAGGGCTAGAGGAGCGCTCAGGACTTCGCACTGGACTTCAGGACCCTGGCAGCCAGGGCGGGATGGAATGAGAGGGCCCTAATTGACCACTACCAACCTACGGGAGGACGTTCGTCGGGAGCTGGCCTGCAGGGACACCACCCTTAACCTGGACCAGCTGGTGGATTTATCGATATGGCTGGATAACCTGTTGGCTACCCGCGGACGTCCGGATCGGGGTCCGCCCATTCCATTCCCCAGCACCTCCGACCCTAAACCGATGGAGCTCAGAGGTGCTGCTCTAAGGGAGACCGGAAGGGGGGCAGTTTCCTGCACCAACTGTGGCCGCAGAGGACACACTGCTGGTCGGTGCTGGGGAGGTTCCTCAGGGAGTCGAGGCAGCAGGCAGAGCACTGGTGGACCATCCCAGGTGAGTAGGCACCCGACTCACCCAGAGCTCCCTGTTGCACACATGTGTATTGACATAGAATTTCCTGAGTTTTCCCCGCATTCCCAGCATAAGGCGCTCGTAGATTCAGGCGCAGCTGGGAACTTTATTGATCGTATATTTGCCCGTAGATTAGGGATTCCTATTGTTCCTGTTGATGTGCCCTTCCCTGTACATGCCTTAGATAGTTGCCCTTTAGGGTCAGGCCTGATTAGGGAGGTCACAGCTCCACTCTGGATGAAAACGCAGGAGGGTCATGAGGAGAGAATTGTTATTTTTCTGATCGATTCTCCTGCGTTTCCAGTGGTGTTGGGGCTTCCCTGGTGAACCTCTCATGACCCAACTATTTCATGGCAACAGAGGGCTCTCAAGGGATGGTCAAGTCAGTGCTCGGGGAGGTGTGTAGGAGTTTCCATAGGTGCAACTACGGTGGAAAGTCCAAACCAGGTCTCCACTATGCACATTCCCCCCGAATATGCTGATTTGGCTCTCGCTTTCTGTAAAAAGAAGGTGACTCAATTACCACCCCATCGACAGGGGGATTGTGCGATAAATATCCAGGTAGGCGCTGCACTTCCCCGGAGTCATGTGTATCCTCTGTCACAGGAGGAGACGGAAGCTATGGAAACACATGTCTCCGAATCTCTGGGACAGGGATACATTCGGCCGTCCACTTCACCTGCCTCCTCGAGTTTCTTTTTTGTGAAGAAGAAGGATGGAGGTTTACGCCCGTGCATTGATTACCGCGGTTTCAATCAGATCACTGTTAGGTACAGTTATCCACTACCTCTCATTGCTAGTGTGACGGAGTCATTGCACGGGGTGTGCTTCTTCACCAAATTGGATCTCAGGAGCGCGTACAACCTGGTGCGTATCCGGGAAGGGGATGAGTGGACGACGGCATTTAGTACCACATCTGGGCACTATGAGTACCTCGTCATGCCGTACGGGTTGATGAATGCTCCATCAGTTTTCCAATCCTTTGTCGATGAGATTTTCAGGGACCTGCACGGACAGGGTGTAGTGGTGTATATAGATGACATTCTCATATACTCCGCTACACGAGCCGAGCACGTGTCCCTGGTGCGCAAGGTGCTTGGTCGATTGTTGGAACATGACCTGTACGTCAAGGCGGAGAAATGTCTGTTCTTTCAACAGTCCGTCCCCTTCCTAGGGTACCGCCTGTCCGTGTCAGGGGTGGAGATGGAGAATGACCACATTTCGGCTGTGTGTAATTGGCCGACTCCAACCACGGTTAAGGAGGTGCAGCGATTCTTAGGGTTTGCCAACTACTACTGGAGGTTTATCCAGGGCTTTGGTCAGGTAGCGGCTCCCATTACCTCCTTGCTGAAGGGGGGACCGGTGCGACTGCAGTGGTCAGCTGAGGCGGACAGGGCTTTTGGTCACCTGAAGGCCCTGTTACCTTGGCTCCTGTGCTGGCTCATCCGGATCCCTCCTTGGCATTCATAGTAGAAGTGGACACATCCGAGGCTGGGATAGGAGCTGTTAGCTGTTGTCCAGGCTCTGAAAGCGTGGAGGCATTGGCTTGAGGGGGCTAAACACCCATTCCTCATTTTGACTGACCACAGCAATCTGGAGTACATCCGGACGGCGAGGAGACTGAACCCTCGCCAGGCAAGGTGGGCCATATTTTTCACCCGTTTTGTGTTCACCCTTTCTTACAGACCAGGTTCCCAGAACGCTAAGGCAGACGCTTTGTCCCGGCTGTATGACACAGAGGAGAGGTCCATGGAGCCCACTCCCATACTTCCGGCTTCTTGTCTGGTGGCACCGATGGTATGGGAGGTTGACGCGGACATCGAGCGGGCGTTACGTACGGAGCCCACTCCCCCCCAGTGTCCAGAGGGTCGTATGTACATTCCGTTAGATGTCCGCGATCGATTGATCTATTGGACTCACACGTCACCCTCCTCTGGTCATCCTGGCATCGGTTGGACAGTGCACTGTCTTAGTGGGAAGTACTGGTGGCCCACTTTAGCTAAGGTCCTGAGTGACTGTTTCCTCCTGCTCGGTGTGCGCCCAGTGCAAGGCACCTAGACACCTGCCCAGAGGGAAATTACAACCCCTACCCGTTCCACAACGGCCGTGGTCACACCTATCGGTGGATTTCGTTACGGACCTTCCCCTGTCACAAGGGAACACCACAATCCTGGTCGTTGTGGATCGGTTTTCTAAATCCTGCCGTCTCATTCCTTTGACCGGTCTCCCTATGGCCCTACAGACTGCGGAGGCCCTGTTTACACAAGTCTTCCGGCACTACGGGGTACCTGTGGATATAGTGTCTGATCGGGGTTCCCAGTTCACCTCAAGGGTCTGAAGGATGTTCATGGAACGTCTGAGGGTCTCGGTCAGCCTGACCTCAGGGTTTCACCCCGAGAGTAATGGGCAGGTGGAGAGAGTAAACCAGGATGTGGGTAAGTTTCTGCGGTCCTATTGCCAGGACCGACCGGGGGAGTGGTCGGTTTTCATCCCCTGGGCAGAGATGGCCCAAAACTCCCTCCGCCACTCCTCCACTAACCTTTCTCCATTTCAGTGTGTATTAGGTTATCAGCCGGTCCTGGCACCATGGCATCAGAGCCAGATCGAGGCACCTGCGGTGGATGAATGGTTTCGGTGCTCGGAGGAGACCTGGAATGCTGCCCATGTACGCCTGCAATGGGCTATCAGGCGACAGAAGGCGAGCGCCGACCGCCACCGCAGTGGGTCTGGCTCTCGACCCGAAACCTGCCCCTTCGCCTGCCCTGCCGGAAGCTGGGTCGGCGTTTGTGGGGCCATTTAAAGTCCTGAGGAGATTGAACGAGGTTTGTTATAGGTTACAGCTTCCTCATAATTACCGTATTAACCCCTCGTTCCATGTGTCTCTCCTCAGGCCGGTGGTAGCTGGTCCACTCCAGGAGTCTGAGGTATGGGAGGTTCCTCCGCCCCCACTGGACATCGAGGGGGCACGGGCGTACTCGGTCCGTTCCATCCTGGATTCGAGGCGTCGGGTGGGGGGCCTGCAGTATCTCGTGGAGTGGGAGGGGTACGGTCCGGAGGAACGGTGCTGGGTCCCTAGGAGGGACATCCCTCGACCCCTCCCTGTTGAGCGATTTCCACCGTCGTCATCCGACTCGCCCTACTCCGCATCCTCCTGGCCGTCCCCGAGGCCAGTGTCGGCGCACAGCTGCCACCGATCTATGTTTCTGTGTTCTACTTGTTTTGTTTTTATTGTACACACCTGGTTCCCATTATGTTCATGATTTGTTCCCTATTTAACATTTTTTTAAACATTTTTTTTACATTTTTTTAGTCATTTAGCAGACGCTCGTATCCAGAGCGACTTACAGTTAGTGAATACATATTTTTTTATATACTGGCCCCCGTGGGAAACGAACCCACAACCCTGGCATTGCAAACGCCATGCTCTATCAACTGAGCTACATCCCTGCCGGCCATTCCCTCCCCTACCCTGGACGACGCTGGGCCAATTGTGCGCCGCCCATGAGTCTCCCGGTCGCAGCCGGCTGCGACAGAGCCTGGATTCGAACCAGGATCTCTAGTGGCACAGTTAACACTGCGATGCAGTGCCTTAGACCACTGCACCACTCAGGAGACGCCTCGAAGTGGGGTTTAACCGACCATTTAACCCTCTGGCTCCCACTGTGTTGTGTGCGTGTTTGTTCTATGTTTGGTGTCATAGACTGGTGAGCGGGATTTGTCCTCCCTACGTGGAGATTATGTTAATTTATTTTCATGAGTAAAGTACGTTGTCTACTATCTCTGTGTCCTGCGCCTGACTCCGTCCTACCGCTACACACTGACGCCTGACACAACCACATGGAAACCACGTCTTTGATGTGTTTGATGCCATTCCATTTGCTCTGTTCCAGCCATTATTATGAGCCATCCTCCCCTCAGCAGCCTCCACCGCCTAACACCCTTTCCCCCTTAGTGACCTCTATTCTCCTCCACAGTGGAAATTGGACCTATGCAGCTTGGACCTACGCAGGATCCACTCAGAGGACCCTCCTCCCCTGGACCGCGAGCGAAGCTTCTGTAGCCACCTGGGTAAGGAGCCCTCACCTGAGGAGGCTCTGGAGGAGCGTAACCTCCTGGAATCCATCGCCTGGCCAGAGACTCAGCCATGGCTCACGTCTTCACCCCTGACCCAGACCAGTGACCCTGCACACAGCCTGTTTGCAATCCTCCCAGCAGGGGGTAGGAGAGAGTGGCACGTGGGGGACCAGCTGGAGGCTCTGGTCCTTATGAAAGATTTCCAGGGACGTCCCAAGAGCCATGGTGGGGACTTCTTGCTGGCCCGGCTGCACTCCCCAGAGCTGGAGGCGGGTGTTGCCGGACACGTGCTGGACCACAGGAATGGGACTTACTCTGCCATTTTTCCATTACTGTGGGAGGGGTCTGTATGGGTGGACGTGACATTAGTCCATCCTAGTGAGGCAGTTCCTGTTCTACGACGCTTACGTGAGGAACATCCTGACAGGGTGCTTTACAAGAGCCTGTTCCGCTCTGGAATATTGTCTGAGACCACCATGTGTAACCTGCGCCTGCCAACCAACCAGCAGCCGCTGTGCAATTACACAGACCCCAACACGGGTGAACCCTGGTACTGCTACAAGCCCAAGCAGCTGCTGAGCTGTGACACACGGATCAACCACTTCAGGGCAGGTTACCAGAAAGATCTGATAACCGATAAGGAAGCACTGCTCTTCCAAAGGTAATTGCGGGGTGAAAAGAGTGGTTGTAGGAAAAAGTGTACGTTTTACCTTGGACATATGCAGTATTTTTGCCTTTTGTTATATGTACAATTACAGGGTATGGTTCTGGGGAATGCTATTGCTTGCTTTAAAATGTAAAATTATTCTCTAAATGTTTTAGTGGCGTTAACCTCAAAGCACGTATTCATGCTATGGCAAATGACAGTGTCACTGTGCTGCCTAAGAAAAAAGGTAAGAGTTCCGTAGTGTGAAGGAAAATCAGAGAGTTTCTGTAAAGTGGTGGTAGCTGGTGCCTCATGCCTCCTCTTGTATTTCCGACAAACAAGAGGTGGAAAGCAGCAGTGCAAAGGCAGCGCCTATCAGGACCACAGCCTCTGGTTATTACTTCCAAGGGTCATGGCGGGGGCTGGGTGGTGTCGTGATTCGCCAGTTTAAGGACACCACTGCCATTACTCAGTGTCTGAAGGACAAGATGGTGTACATGTATGGAGACTCCACCGTCAGACAGTACTACGAGTTCCTCACCAGCTTCTTGCCAGGTGAGTGTTGTTTGCCAATACTATTACATCTCATACTCACCTGTCTCAGGTGTACTAAAATTCTCTCTCCCTCTCTCTCCCCCAACATTCATCTCCCTCTCTCTCTGTCAAAGAGCTGAGGGAATTCAACCTTCAAAGTCCTGTGAGCGCAGGGCCCTTCATGGCGGTGGACATCCCCCACAACATCCTGCTAAAGTACCGGAGCCACGGTCCCCCCATCTCTTGGACCCCTATCAGCATCAGTCAGCTGCGCTATGTAGCTAACGAGCTGGATGGCCTGGCCGGGGGCTCAAAAACTGTTGTAGTCATCAGCATTTGGGCTCATTTCAGCACCTTCCCTGTGCAGGTCTACATTCGCCGACTACGCCACATTCGAAGGGCGGTGGTGCGGCTTCTGGACCGGGCTCCGGAGACTGTGGTAGTGGTGCGCTCTGCCAACCTCCGGGCCCAAAGCCTACAGGAGAGCCTCAACTTCAGTGACTGGTTCTCAGTGCAGCTGGACGAGGTACTCAAGGCCATGTTCAGGGGTCTGAATATCTTCTTCGTGGACGCCTGGGAGATGACCCTTGCCCACCACCTCCCCCACAATATCCACCCACACCCTCCCATCATCAAGAACATGATAAACACTATCCTCTCTCACATCTGCCCAGTGAAGAACTAGCAGATAGAGTTAAATTAGTTCTGCCACAATTCTTTATTATTCAACACCTGTGCAATATTGACAAAATCACTAGCATGGGCAGAGAAGTTTGATATGATTTCTCAAAATGGTCACAAGACCACAACCATAACTCTTTTACAGACAAATTTGGAACCAGAAGCCTGTATTCAACAGCTTAAAAAACAAATACATTGTTGAAAATGTGTGTTCATTTTCAATGCATTGAATTCATGATGCTCGTGGTATATGAAAATATCTTAGCGGTCATCAAAGGTGTCATGCCCAAAGGGGACAAAGAGGCACGTGCCCCCTCCGATTTGTCCTGTTAAAAAAAAATATATATATATATATATATATACACACAGTGAGGGGAATTTTTTTTTGATCCCCTGCTGATTTTGTACGTTTGCCCACTGACAAAGACATGATCAGTCTATAACCTAAAACACAAAACCAAATATACACAGCACAATAACCTAAAACACAAAACCAAATATACACTGGAGTTGCTTACCAAGATGACATGGAATGTTCCTGAGTGGCCTAGTTACAGTTTTGACTTAAATTGACTTGCAAATCTATGGCAAGACTTGAAAAGGGCTGTCTAGCAATGATCAACAACCAACTTGATAGAGCTTCAAGAATTTGCAAAAGAATAATGTGCAACTATTGTACAATCCAGGTGTGCAAAGCTCTTAGAGACTTACCCAGAAAGACTCACAGCTGCAATCGCTGCCAAAGTAGATTCTAGCATGTATTGACTCAGGGGTGTGAATAATTATGTAAATGAGATATTTCTGTATTTCATTTTCAATTAATTTGCTAAAATATCCAAAAACATATTTTCACTGTCATTATGGGGTATTGTGTGTAGATAAAAAATGTTATATTTAATCCATTTTGAATTCAGGGTGTAACACAACAACATGTGGAATAAGTAAAGGGGTATGAATACTCTCTGAAGGCACTGTATGTCCTTGAACCGATTATTTTTAAATCCACAGAAGAAATGATAAGCATAATTTAGTTGCTAATGGTAGCCTGCAGTACCCCAGTCGGCCTTTAAAGTTATTCAATGAGAAGGGGCAGCACTGAACTAGCCTACAACATCACTTCCTGGAATAGCTCACACTGACCATGTTATGTCTCTGTGAGACATTTACATTACATTTTAGTCATTTAGCAGACGCTCTTATCCAGAGCGACTTACAGTTAGAGCATACATTATTTTATTTTTTCATACTATCCCCCCGTGGAAATCATGCCTTAGACCACTGCGCCACTCGGGAGAAGCCATCTCATTTTACATTTACTTTCCAGATTGTGGTAGAAAATGTACAGTGAGGGAAAAAAGTATTTGATCCCCTACTGATTTTGTACGCTTGCCCAATGACAAAGAAATGATCAGTCTATAATTTTAATGGTAGGTTTATTTGAACAGTGAGAGACAGAATAACAACAACAAAATCCTGAAAAATGCATGTCAAAAATGTTATAAATTGATTTGCATTTTAATGAGGGAAATAAGTATTTGACCCCTCTGCAAAACATGACTTAGTACTTGGTGGCAAAACTCTTGTTGGCAATCACAGAGCTCAGACGTTTCTTGTAGTTGGCCACCAGGTTTGCACACATCTCAGGAGGGATTTTGTTCCACTCCTCTTTGCAGATCTTCTCCAAGTCATTAAGGTTTCGAGGCTGACGTTTGGCAACTCGAACCTTCAGCTCCCTCCACAGATTTTCTATGGGATTAATGTCTGGAGACTGGCTAGGCCACTCCAGGACATTAATGTGCTTCTTCTTGAGCCACTCCTTTGTTGCCTTGGCCGTGTGTTTTGGATCATTGTCATGCTGGAATACCCATCCACAACCCATTTTCAATGCCCTGGCTGAGGGAAGGAGGTTCTCACCCAAGATTTGACGGTACATGGCCCTGTCCATCGTCCCTTTGATACAGTGAAGTTGTCCTGTCCCCTTAGCAGAAAAACACCCCCAAAGCATAATGTTTCCACCTCCATGTTTGACGGTGGGGATGGTGTTCTTGGGGTCATAGGCAGCATTCCTCCTCCTCCAAACATGGCGAGTTGAGTTGATGCCAAAGAGCTCGATTTTGGTCTCATCTGACCACGACACTTTCACCCAGTTCTCCTCTGAATCTTTCAGATGTTCATTGGCAAACTTCAAACGGGCCTGTATATGTGCTTTCTTGAGCAGGGGGACCTTGCGGGCGCTGCAGGATTTCAGTCCTTCAAGGCGTAGTGTGTTACCAATTGTTTTCTTGGTGACTATGGTCCCAGCTGCCTTGAGATCATTGACAAGATCCTCCCGTGTAGTTCTGGGCTGATTCCTCATCGTTCTCATGATCATTGCAACTCCACGAGGTGAGATCTTGCATGGAGCCCCAGGCCGAGGGAGATTTACAGTTCTTTTGTGTTTCTTCCATTTGTGAATAATCGCACCAACTGTTGTCACCTTCTCACTGAGCTGCTTGGCGATGGTCTTGTAGCCCATTCCAGTCTTGTGTAGGTCTACAATCTTGTCCCTGACATCTTTGGAGAGCTCTTTGGTCTTGGCCATGGTGGAGAGTTTGGAATCTGATTGATTGATTGCTTCTGTGGACAGGTGTCTTTTATACAGGTAACAAGCTGAGATTAGGAGCACTCCCTTTAAGAGTGTGCTCCTAATCTCAGCTCGTTACCTGTATAAAAGACACATGGGAGCCAGAAATCTTTCTGATTGAGAGGGGGTCAAATACATATTTCCCTCATTAAAATGCAAATCAATTTATAACATTTTTGCATTTATTTCTTATATATTTTGATGTGTTAGGATACTACCACGTATATTGGAAATACAACAAAACAAAAAGGGGAGCAATGGTTACAAAGCTCAACAGCCCACAAGTGCTGAGCTTTCTGGCAATGAGTTCGTGAAAAATGTGAATGGGGCTGGGGCACATGTGTTATATCACTGTACTATGTTTATCTATTTTACATTTTAGTCATTTAGCAGACGCTCTTATCCAGAGTTAGTGAGTGCATACCTTTTTTTTTTTTTTCATACTGGCCCCCGTGGGAATCGAACCCATGCTCTACCAACTGAGCTACACGGGACCTATACATCTATGAAATGATTAGGGTATACAGGTCAGAGGTCACCGTACTAAGATATGCAAATTATAGGGTTGGGGTGTGCAGCGAATAGCTGGATATAGGTTACTGTTGGTGACTTGGGGAATACAGGCCTAAGGAAAGTGGGTAATAGGGCTGAGATAGGCAAGTAACAGGAATGAGGTGTATTGGCAAAGGAACAGGGGTTGTCATGCCAAATAATGTCCCCCGGCCAAAAAGTGTCCCCCTCTGCTTCACAATGTATTTCGATAAACTATTAGCGTCCATTGCTATATCAATGGTGTGATGTTGGAGAGCATTACAGCCTAAATGACGTTCTTTTCATCAGTGCTATGCAAACAAGGCTGATTTCCACAACAATGTTGCTGTTTAAATAGGTTTTGTTTAGCTAATAAAATGTAAACATTACTTCAAACTACTTTTGGGTACCTTGTTAACATTAAAACATTAAATCCATGTCTTAAACATTGCTACGTTTCTGAAATGGCAAAGACAAACGTGTAATCTGCTTGACACATTAAAGTTTCTTACCTTACAGATCACGAAGTCAGCTAATTTCAACTCCATTCATATGCAAATACATTTGATTCATACACTGGCTTGTCTGGCTGTCATGTTTTTATTTTAACCTGCCCTTCCCTTATCTACACTGAAATAATACAATTTCAGTAGTCCTCTATTATGATTAATTTTCTTCTATCTCGCATAGCTCATTAGTACACCCTTGTGGTTGAATATATATGTATCTATTGTAGGTCCAAGGATACAATGAAAAATGTGGGACAAATAAATACCATCAAAGGATACCTTACAACTTACAATAATGAACACCTTGTGAAACAGCTGTGAAAACCAACCTGGCAATATTAAAGATTTTAATACATAAACTTTGATATTATTTGGTACAGTTGTCATTAATTTATTTTCACAGATTTTTGGACACTCACATGGCAATCATTGACTAAAATACTGAATTCTGGTGTGTGGAATATAGAGGAGGTGGTTGCTGTGTGGGTGGGAGGTTCTGTCTGTCACTTGTTCTCAACAGGCAGCCAGTCTCGGAAGGGGGACTGGAAGAGGGAGACTGCAAAGTCCAGGCACTGCTGCTCTCTTTGTTCTGAGTGTTTGCAGTGCTAGTGTTTTTAGTAAATCTGTGTATCTCACATTATGTGCCCAGTATGATAGAGCAAGAAAACTTTCTTAGCAGATAATGACAACATGATAACAGTAGCTGTAGATGATGTAATGAAAAGTTGGAGGGTGGTTGGTAATGGAGGACATCAGGCGGATCCACAATCGATGGTCCTAAAGTCATTTGGAGAGGTAAATTGAAGAGGTACATTTGGTCCCCTCTTGATTCTGCTCTGGTAGCTCTCCTTCTGTTTCTCCTGTGCCTTGTCGATGTTCAGTCTCACCTTGATTGATAACAGGAATAAATGCAATTATATTTCATATTACAAATACATTTCTTACATATCTCTTGGAGGGCCAGAAAAAATAAATTAACAGTGGACAATAATTTTGACCTGGTCAAAAACCTCCTCAGTCTGTGCCTGAAGGGGGTCCTCGAAGGCGTTCTGATCTGGTTCGACAACTTCCACCACATGAGGTGGGGTTTCAGTGATCTGAAAGTACATTATACAAAAATAGCAATAGACAAACAACAACACCAAGTCAATGACAAATTTGAAAGACTACAGTATATGCAATAATTGTATATACAATTGCATTGTTTACCTCAGTCAACAGCTGCGGCTCCTGTCCGTACTCGGTGGAGGCCTGGATGCTGTTGTTGTGTGCAAAGAGAATTACCTTCAGGTTGTTCTCTCACCCTTCCTGGTACCAATCAAGGGACTTGCCCATGGCAGT